AGAGTTCACCTTTGCACGAGGACTGGGAAGCACTCCTCTCCCACCCTCCACTCTCAGAAGAACCCAGGCAGAATCCTTTAAGGGAATATTTTCCTTTACCCAAATTATTCTGAATCACACTAATTTCCTAAGGCACAGTCACATGTGGCTAAGAGGCTTATTTAATTGCCACCACAATGGGCAGTGGGAAGCTTGTCCCCTTGCCTTACTAAGCAATGCCCTACTCACATCTCAGAGAAATAGCCCTAAGTGCACTGCAATTGTCTGTCACGACAGCCACCAGTAAAAGCAACTGCATGTGTGAGCAGTCCTTGCAGAGTGCAGCATTCTCTGGGTTTGCTTCCCAGTTGTCTTTGTGCTAGGAATCTTCATGGGTGAATCGAGAACTCATTAAAAGAGGCAGAGCCAGCAAGCAGAGTGAGGCATGCACTCCCTGAAAATGCAGGATACAAATGCCTCTGTTCTGCCATCTCGTACCAGCACAGCCTGAGCAAACTCATGCTGCAACGTGAACGTTCACACGCTGGCTTTATGTAAAGTTCATGTGGTCATTGAAGTTCAGTTCAGTAGGAATGGTTTGCTCTCTTTCTTTTGAGTAGTAAAAAATGGAGAGCTTTGCTCCAGCCATTTCTTTCCATGATTTACAACTACATCCTTAGGCACGGTTTTCCCACTGAAATACTTCACCCTGACCAGGACGAAAAGAGAGGAAAGAGTCCCCATGTCATGCCTCAGGCCATCCTAGGGAGGGGACTGGCAATTCAATGCCTTTTCTCTCCCAACTCTCCCCCTACAATAAGCTTTGAGAGGTGACTAAGCTGGGGAGAGGAGGTGGAGCTGTATGAGGTAGGTGTGTAGGAGGTTGCCGGTGGGGTTGTTCCAGCTTGTGCTGGGAGTCACCTTGACCCAGCATTGCAAAGGAAGTGTAAAACTAAATTTCTTCTTTCCATTCCTGCCCCACCAACTGCATAGCATAAAATGTATCACCTTCTTATTTTCAAATAGCATTTCTATATGCATTATTAATGTAACTAAAACCCAAGCCTTCAATTTATCACTCCCTGGACACTTACACATAGAAACGTATGTTATATCATTGTCTGTTTAGTGATGGTGTTAAGTTTTAGCTGGAAAAGAAAGGCATGGTGTTAGGAACTATATCTTTCCCAAAGGGAATACCAAAATCTTACTTTTTTCAGGACAGCAGTGTGTAAGGGTCCCCCCGGCTCTGGCTGTAGGGGGACAGCTGGGCAACAAGAGGCCATGGCCTGTTTTACCCTATCCCACCAGTCAGGAGCTTGAATTTGGCTGCCTCCACCATTGTACCTGCATTAATCAGTGATTTGACTGTTTTCCTCCTTCCAGGGTTTTCCTGATAAACATCAGTTTAAAACCCAAACCTGTAGCCCACTAATAAATCATGGTTATTTTGGTCTATCAAGCTTGCTCCTGGCTCAACCTTAACTTCCCGTGCCCTCAGGAAGACTTAGATTTGGGTGCTCCATAAGGTGCCAGAAACAGAGGAAAGTTTATGTAGCTGGGGGATTTTAACAAACCATCAGAAAACCTAGAGCTCCCCATAGAAGTTGCCAGCAAAGAATGCATTCTCCTAGTCAGCTTGGCAGAAAAAGAACAGACACCTCCAAGAAGCCCAGCAGGGGCTGTGGTTTTGGCCCAGTGAGATTTTAAAGTTGAGTTTCCCATCAAAGCCACATGAAGTCAGTGAGGGTATTTCCATTGATTTGAAAGGGCTTTGAGATGTATCCTGAGTCCCAAACCCTGAGTCAGGTGCACGCTTGGGCAGCACAAGGGCATGAAAGGGAAAGGAGACATCTGCTCCCTTGATCCTCGAGGTGAGTTGGAGCTGCAAGAAGTGCTCCTGAAGCACCCTGCTGGAGTTTAGGATGCGGTTCCTGATGCCTGGCACCTGCGCTCAACTGCACCTGGGAGAAACCGGCTGCTCAACTCTGGGTACTGTCAGTGAAGACCAGGATTTCGACTCCTGTAATTAGCAGCTAATGTCAGGAATCAGCGTGCCAGGCAGCAAAGGGGTCTCTTCCCTAAACATCTGCCCCTGGCACCCCGCTAGGAGGAGAAAAATATGTACAGAGGGAATTAAAGTGACAGCCCCCACGATCTGGCGTATGTCACTGACTCCGAAGCTGATTTAACTGGGCAGCAGGTAGGAGAGACAAATATTCGCTACAGGAGCTGGAGAAAATGGAGGCGAGGCAGAATGAGATAAAACCTATTAGAGAGAGTGTTTTACAGTGCAATTCCTCGGGGGCTGGGGAGGAAGGAGAAAGCTCACCATAAATGGAAAAAGGCTCGAACTATAATTAATTCACCTTCTCCCAGCTTTGTACCATATTTATACTGTATTTCCATGCAAGATTTAAAAAAAGCACAAAAACTCAACGTGTTCAGTAGTTTTTATGTTCACAACAGATAGCAGTCTTGCAGCAGATTAGCGTACTGGTATAGCTGCTGTATGTATATAAGGGCTTTGGATGGTCTGGGACTTAAGCTTCAGATGAAATAATCAACCCTGACTGAAAGGACATTTATTGGAAAGGCAGTATGAGAAGAGATGGTGCTGCTGTCTGAACTGCCTGACTCCTGCAAATTAGCAACATAAAGGAGAGGTTTTCTTGGAAATCTGTAGGCGAGAGGCTAAGCTCCTCTCCTTGCGCTTAGCCAAGTGGGGTCAGAAGCGCCGCAGGCAGCTCCCATCCCAGAGCTGCTGGTCACTCACTGTCAGTGTGGGATGTGTCAAGCAGCTCGTTGCTTGCCAACAACAGGCTGGGAAATCAGGCTGCACGCAACTTTTAGCACATGCTGTAGTAGATTCCAGCTTACCTGTGCAGTAAAGATAAGCCTGTACTGCATGTAATTTTTTTCTTCTCACGTGGTGTCAGGAACAGAAGAAAGACCTGAGGATTTGATAGATCTCAAGCCGGAGTTCACATAATCACTTTTGCTATTTAGAATGAAAGCAGATAATAGTGCTGAGATTCCAGGGAGGGTCTTGGTTGTCCCCAGGTTCAAGGACACTTGGGTCAGGGGATGGAGTCTGACAGGAAATCAAGGCTAACCTTTGTACTTCCCCCTCCGTTATTGTTGAATATACAGAAAAAAAGAAATATATGGAAAGAAGCAAAGTACATATACTTCTGCAGCCTAAGAGCTGCTTTCAGTACTGCATGCTTTTATGTAGAACTCAATAAAATGCATTTGCAAACATAATTACAGATCCAGCAATGTTCTCTAATAATGGATTATATAAAGCATGTTATGAAATGCATTCATATCAGGTTCTTGGCAGATTGTACTACCTACTGTAACCAAGTGCTATAAAACCAACTACAAGTATATAGAAATTACTGACACAAGGTATGCTCCCCTGAAATAAAGTGCAGTTTCAGAGGGTTGCAAAACATACTGTAGAGGGTGGTGGAGGTATTTTGAACATGCTAGAGCCAGCAGCACAGCAAAGGAAGCCATTCTTGGGGAAAGTATGGTGATAAATGGCTCCTCAGAGCATATCAGCTGTTGGCTCAGGGCCTGCAGGTTGATCCAGGTGTCCTTACGTGCCACAAGACTTGGTCCTATTTTGTTATGTTGTAAATTCCCACCAAAGTATGTAGGGCTCTGCCTGGCTGAGCACTGAGTAATTGAAAAAAAGAAAATTAAGACTCTGGTCCTGAATTCACATAGAGATTTTCTGAAGTTGCTTCAGTGTGCTGGACTCCCACATGAAGGCTTTATTCAAAACCCTTTCAATTGAGTGGAAATTTACTACCAATTTGGACGATCTCTGGATAAAGTCTTACTTAAATTTTGTCAGATTATTTCTTTAGGGCAGAAGGGATGTTATTCTGAGTTATTAGGTTATGAATGTTGCTGTGTCATGAGGAAAACAAATGGATTTCTTCTACTTCCTCATCACTCAAAACAACCTCTAGTAAAAGATAAGCAGAACCAGAACGGATAAAAAGGAAGCCCCTTTCCTTTTCTCACTGCAATGAACCTTTACCCAAACTCTTTTTTTGTATGGTTCCTGTTGTTCATATATTTCCTATTTCTGCCTTAGTTGGGAGCATTGTCATAATACAAAAGTTCCTATCATTTGTTTCATTGCTAGTCAGAAAAATCTTCTCTAAACCAGGTTTTCTAACAGTGAACATTTGAGTAGTTAGTGAAAGAAAATAGCACAGAAACCATGACTACTGCTTCTAGGAACTGCATGTTCAGCTTCAGCCTGCAACTGCAGGAATGGGTCTCTCACTATGCCAGATAAAACTTTGTAGAGAATGATTGCTAGCAGCTCTAGATCAAGGGACCTGAGCGCAGTTGAGTGAGATGCCCTTTCAAGCTGTTTCCCTGCGTATTTTTCTTACGAAAGCCAAGTAGCAGAGTCTGGTGCATAGCCACTCATGCAGACAGGAGATTAGCATGCGGTTGGGATACGTGTTTAAATACAGAAACTGAGCTTTATTTCCTTAAAAGCAGCTATACTGATCATGTGCAAGTAGGTCTTTCCTCCATGGACTGCGAAGCACTTTGCAAATATTGTTGGAGGCTCGCAATGTTCTTGCACTTGGGTAAACTTGATCCTGGAGGCGTTAAGTGATTTACTCAAGGTTGTCCAGTAAATCAGAGGTAGAGGTAGGAAGTGAAACAGCAGCATGACTGCAAATGACATCCTTTTGCCTTCAGAGGTGCTACTGTGTGTAAATAAAGGCCTGACCCTGTTGTTTGTACTCATGTGAACAGTCTCTGAAATAAATGGAAGGACTTGCATGGGAAAAGGGCCGTGATATTGGCCTCCTTAGGCCTTCCTCCATGAAGCATTTAATATTTCCCAAGAGGTGCTGCTGGCTGCACCTCGTACTGAAGTATCTTACAGCAACAATGGCAACGGCACAGAAATCTGCTTAATTTAACCCCTAGTGCACAAAAGCCGAAATCTAACATCAGAGTTTTCTCTGCCTGGGCAGGCACCAAGCCACCAGCACCTGAGAACGGTGGCATGTCTTGGAAATGAGCTCTGACATCCACACTCCCCTCCTTCAGAGGGAAAGAAGAGGTGTTGTGTCACAGTACGGACTGAGAGATTCTTCAGCTGGTAAAAAACACGAGGTCTGTATTTCTTCCCAGCAAAAGCTTGGCTCTCCCCCAGCTGCAGCAACCTAAAAAGCTAATATGTAAGAAAGACCACATTAAAAATATGACGTAGAAATATGTCTTTAATAAAAGGAAAAGAAAAATCCCAATTTTTTTCCTCGTTCTCTGCAGAAAAAGGATTCCTAGCTACAAGCCACTGTTTGCCTATTTAAGTCTCTGCGCTTCTTATTCCCCTTCTTTAGCAGATTTCAGATGAATGAAGAGGTAAGAGATGGCACTGGTAGTAAACTGCAACTGCGCGAGTTGCATAAATGCAGAGCGGATTTCAGCGCCTAATGCACGCAGCAGAGATTTCCACCGTGAAGATGGAGCGAGGGAGCCTGCAGCATCTGAAGGGAAATCAGCTGACGGCACCGCTCCGGCGAGCGGAGATGTGAAACTGCCACATACAGGGAAAGTGGAAGCGACTACTGAAACCTGCAATGGCACCAACTCCCCGGAGCTTGAACTTCTGCGATAAAAGGAAAGAGATCATTAACTGCGCGTGGGGATCGCTCGTGGAGGAGGAAAAAAAACACCCTTTAACTCTGGAGTTTTTAAAAGTGCCCTTGTTTGTTTTCTTGGCAGAGGATCGGAGCATTTGGCACCCATCCTTGGAAGGTGGCCCGGCTGTAAAAATGCTGGGGTTGGCCCTTTCCATGCTGTTGCTAAGCGGACGGCCCAATAGCCGGCTGGGGCCCTCCAAACCCCACCCCGCGCTCCGGCCAGATCCAGCCTGTATTAAAAGCCTCTCTTCTCCCACTTGCTAATAATAATTTAATTTCTTTTTTAAGCCAAAGAAGTGCCAAATTTATATAAGCCTGGCCATGCCAAGAGGTGCAGGGTGTGCAGCCCGTGCCCCAAAGAGCCCTTTGCTTCGGGGCTCTGGTGCCGCTCCTGTCAGACCCGTTCCCCTTCTCTCTCCCCGCTCCCACAGCCTCAAGGTATAGAACAGAACTAAGGGTGTTTTTTTTTTCCTCCCCCCTGCACCCACCCCTTTTTCTTTTTTAATAACTTTATCAACTCTGAACCCCAGGATGATTTGTGCATTTCATATTCTCCCTGCACTTTTATTCTCTGTTAGAATTTGGATACTTTCCATTTCTCTTTCCCCCCCTCCCCTTTTCTCTTCTTTTTTTTCTTTCTTTCCCCCTGCTTGTTTGCGGTTTTGCATGAAAAGGCATTGTTAACTCTTTCACGATCCGCTTGGAAAAGGACTTTCTTGGCTTGGCTGCTGGAGGCGTTGCTGGAAGAGCAAAATAAAAGTGCAGGGTTTCAAAACCGTAGGCTGAAAAGAAGAGCAGCAGTGGAAAAGATTTACATTGAAACTGCTACTGTAGGAAAAGCAGAGCTCGGAGAGCCGAGCGCTGGTATTTGTTTCCCAGAGCTCAGCTCTTGCTGCATTGCACGACGTCTCCCTGAGCAGATGCTGGAAGGCAGCAACACAGGGGGACACGGGCTCAGAACTGTGAGGATGGGCACCCGTCCCCATTGCAGTGCACACAGCATTGCTTTTGCATGCAGACTGGGAGAGTGCGTGCTTTGCTGCTGCCTGAGTGCAAAAGAAGCGAAAGGCGTTCTTCCCCACTGCACCTGGGTGAAGCGTGGGGAAACAGGAGGTCCTTGGTGTAGCAGAGATGCACAAAAGGAGGTGGGGAATTTTTCCCCGGGAGCTGCGAAAAGTGGAGGATTCATTTTCCCTTTTGTCCCTTGAGATGAGAGGCTGGGAAGTTGGCATCTGTCACTCCAAGCCTTTTTCCTCTTCCTCAGGACTTGCAGCTGCAGAAAGTGGGTCCAACCCGGCCGAGCTGCGTGAGAGCTGCCCAGCTGAGCTCCTTGAGCTGCTGCAAGCAGAGATGGCTCAAACAGTTGGCAGCAGCGAGGATCAGTTATCTTTTTCTTTTAAAAATAATACGTTATGCAAGTAGGTTTTATTGTAGTTACGGGCATTTATTCTTTCTTGCTGGAGATGATAAAATAATCTCGTTGGAACCAACAGGAACATAAATTTAATAATGTGACGCTATGGGCGCGTTAAATGGTATAACATTGCTCCTAAAAGTTCTAAAAGCACATTAAAAAAATCCTTCATATATTTGCACATCCTGTGGTAATTAGCACATGAATATTTTCCATTTGTAGCCTTTGAAAAAATACTTTTCGAGTGGTTAAAATCCAATTTTTTTTCCAGCATCCTCCACAGCCTTTTTGTGTGATTCCTGCTCTTAAATATTTGTATGCACGTTTGCGTGTGTGTTTGCTGTGCCTGTTAGTTCCGTTTTGTAGAACAAATGGAGAAAACTAAAATATAGATTTTTAACAACTACAAGATTCCCTGCAGACAGGGTTTTGTACTGCAGCGGCTCAGAGGAAGAACACAGCATGTAATTCTACATACATCAGAGCCCTTTTCCATTGCTCTTACCTCGTCAGCTGAATGGAGAATTATAAAAACTATGTCCCTGATTCTGTAAAGATTTGAAAAAGAGGCTTAACTTTAGGCACACAGGTAACTTCAAAGGGAATTAAGTGAAAATATGAGATGTGAGCAGTTCACTGCAGGCAGATGCATTAGAGAGAACGATCTACACAGAACTTGATCCAGAAGCTCGGGAATTACATTAACTGACCTTTGTGAGCTAAACAAAAGCTGATTGGAAAATATATTCGGAAGCTAAAGTGAAATATTATAACAAAATAAACCTCAGTGCAATGGGTATTCTTATTACAGAGCATCCTTTGACTCGTCTGTAGGCAAGGGGACTGGTGCTGCAAAAGGGAGTGGGAATATTGCCATTGATTTTAGTGAGGCCAGAATTTTGCCCAAAACATTTGCTTTCTCCTGGTTCTGAGGTATTTTTTTATTAACTCTGCCATTGTTTCTTGTGTCTCTGCTGTCACATTGCATGGGGTGCATGAGCATTCTAAAATTAACGATGGACCTGAACTGCAGAGCACGGCTCATTGATCAAACCTCTGAATCCATCTCGACAAAGTTTGATTAGATGTTTGATTCAAGGCTACTGTATAGACACATCTCTCTGTACATTCACAATTTTGTTGGCACACCTGTTGTGGCCTGGTTGGGAAATTTTGTGCATGTAGCAAATCCTGGTCTAGTGGGGCAAGCTAAGCATCGATTTTGTTTCACCACGTCAGAGCAAGCTATGTCAACTGCTGCACATCACTTTGTGATCATGGTTAAAGCCAGTCCGACAAACAGCCACCTCAGCAAGCTGTCATTTTAATGTTTTATCCATTTTCTTTCTGTGTACGTGTGCTCCACATTTCAGTGAAGCTTCGTCTCTCCTGCCCACTGCCATAGGCTAAAAGTCTGCTGCAAGACTCAAGTCTCAAATGTGTCACATGTAATGAAACAGGAAAATTCCACCCAAAACATTGATTACTGGTGCTCCTGGTCAGGAAAAGGAGAGAACAATGAGACATGGGTAGTGACACCTGCACAGGGGCCATGCAGGCATCTCGCAGCCCTGAGAGTTCCCTCCTTCCTGCTCCCCTTCCTTCGTAATGTTGCAAATTCGAGACCTTCTATAGTGTAATTTTAAAGTACTTTGGCTTGTTTTATCATTAGCTCTTTGTTCATCTACCTACTCAGAACTTTTAAAACCTAATCTCCTTCCCATTAAAACTCAAAAATTTCTCTTGCTTTGAAGCGTTACATCTTGGGAAGTCAAAACCTTCAGTGTCTGCCTGAGACATTGATATTTTACCAACTTTAACAACTCAGCCCATAGATTTTTCTCTCTCTGAGTGGGGAAGTTTTGTTCTTATCCCCATTTTACGGGATGAAATCTCTTATTCAGTGAAGTATGTGAGCATGTGCCAGTTTCAACAGAGCTGGTGGAATCTTTCCAGGATAGACTAGGTTTGCCAGAAGTGCAATTTGAAGTGGAAAACTATTCACAAATTCAGGTTGAATGCAGTGAAGAGTTTTGTCAGAAAGAAAAAACAGGGGCATTTCTTTTCTCAGGAAGGTTTAAATGTTTCATTTCTGTATTTTCAAATTAAACTTTATAATTCTGGACTTTTTAAAGCCAGATATATTTCAAAATTAACCTTTCTTGTTCATGACTATTTTGAAAGCAATGTGATGAAAAGAACATTAGACTTCTCGTTATGAGAGCAAATTGACACTGCTTTAAACTTCATTTTGACGTTATGAAGTGGTTTTTTTTCAGCTAGAGGTATTTGGTGTTTAGTTTTTTTTTTGTTTGTTTAAAAAGGAAAACAGCATGCAGATTTCCATTGTAGGGGGAATCAAAGCAATCTCAAGTGACCCAAAATGAAAGTGTGGGGCGGTCTTATGTTTGATGCACCAAAATACTAGACATTTTGGAGTCAACCCCACCTTAATCTTTTTTTTTTCCTTTTTTTTTTTTTCCAGTTTGCCATTCAGCCACCAGACCGAAGGGAACACGTCCATACAGCTCCAGCTCGTGCAGCATACAGTCCTATTGTTCTTGGTTGACTTCTGCAGAGCTTCTCGTGCTTGGATTCAGCCTTGTAGTTTCACTGAGCCCACGCCTACACAAACCAGAGCAAGTTCAACAGGGAGATGGGCACGGCTCCGCTCCCAGCTCTGGCTTCCAGGCTCAAGACTCTTCTTCTCCAGGTTAGCCCAACCGAGCTCTCTCCAATACATCAGGCTTACAAAGAAAGGGTGGGTGTTGAAAGGGGTATGATTTTCTTCGCAGCGTTTTGACACTTTGACACACATTCAGGGAAATGTGTGAGGTGGGCAGCAAAGGAAAGGAATTGTACGTGTCTGGAAGAACCTGGAACATAATGCTAAGTGAAAATTTTTGGTTCTTTTAGGCAAAAATGTGAATGTAAGGTCCTCTAAATAAAGCCCACAGTTATTAGGAGCTTGGCCGTTTTGTCTTGTCTCAGAGTGGCTCTTCCTAATAATGCAAACTGATAAAAGTGAGTTGGAATGATTTTGCCAGAATAACTGTTAAGGGAACAACAAAGATGCACATTTGCACATTTGCACACATACCTCTAAATAACATAATCAGCTTTGAAGTTTCAGAGAGTGCACATTTGAAAAACAGAGTCCAACCAGCTAGGAGAGAAGGAAATGCAATGCAAAGGATGTTTACTACACCAATGTATTTTCCATCAAACTAAGTTTTATTAACTTCTCAATGTCATGTGATGCGTATCTGCAGCTCGCTCATAGTGCCTTAATTTGTTGCTATGTGTGACACGTTGTAGGCTGATCTAGCCTGACACATCATGGTATGCAGAGTACACATATATCATGATAAGACAGTTGAAAACCAAAGACAAACAGCCCCAGCAAGGGAGAACTGAACAGCATGGTTCAGCTGGGGCCTATGCCCATAAGAGAGAGAATATTTGAAACGTCGTGCTATAGCTGTGAGTAAACAAGGTGTTTCAGTCCAGTGTACCCATGGATGGCTTTGTTTCTTTTTTTTCCTTTGTACTAGTTGATGTTCTTTGTAATGGCATCTTTTTTGTTAAAATGGAAAAAATAGGTTGTCTGCTGGAGAAAAAGTTGGACTTAGATGCTGCTGTGCTACTGTGATGCTTCATGAGTGAGGATCTTCTGGTCCCTGCAGCCAGTAAAACACCCCTGGGCAGCACTGGGATGATGCAGTGAAGGTATGTTACACGGAGTCCACAGCCACCCAGCCTGCACAGCTTCATTTCTGGTCAGCTTTGGATTCCCCTTCTAGAGACACAGAATATTTCTGGGCTACAGATAAGAAGGTTCTGTTGTCCAGGACAAGCTCTTCATTGTTTTCAGTTTCAGAGAAAAGATACTGCCCAGGTAAAGCAATACTTGTTGCAATCATCTTATTAAGAAGTTTGGGAGGAAAAAGGTAAAATTTTGTCATAAGGCTTGAGTAACTATGACTGTGAGCTAACACTGAAGGGAATACATCTTTATTCCTTATGTCTGAAGTACGTGATGCATCAAACACAGCAAAGCCAGCCAGTCAAAAGAGATGATTCTGCTCCTACAGTATTTAGTGTTGGTATGGCCTCACCTTGAATATTGTGTGCAGCTCTGGGCTCTGCAATCTAGAAAGGATATGAAGGTACTTGGAAGCACACTGAGGAGGGCAACAGAACTGTAGCATGGCTGGAAGGCAAGTCCTGTGAGAAGAAGCTGAGGTGACTGGGGTTGTCCAGTCTGAAGAAGAGAAGCTCTCTTCAGCTCCCTGAGAGAAAGCCGAGAGAGATGCCGGGCTATGCTCCTGGAAACTGTTGACAGGATGGGAAAGGCACAAAGCTGTGCCAAGAAAGGTTAGGATGGGCATTAGAAGAAATTAATTTGCCACAAGGGTGGTTGAGCGCTGGAACAGGATTTCTAGAGAGGTGGTTGATGTCCCTTGGCTGTCAGAGTTCAAGAGACATTTGGATAGTGCTCTCAGTAACATGCTTTAACTTTTGGTTATCTCTGAAGTGGTCAGACAGTTGGACTGGATGATCTTTGTAGGCCCCTTCCAATTCTCCTCTCCTCTCCTCTCCTCTCCTCTCCTCTCCTCTCCTCTCCTCTCCTCTCCTCTCCATTGCAGCATCTGATGCACGGACTCAGATGCAAATGATCCCAATCGTTTATTACAAGTTCTCACATCACTTATATACCTTCACAAGTTTTATTTTTCTAGCTTTCGCATCCACCCCAACAACTTTCCCATCTACCTTTACATGTCAACAGAGCATTCTACAAAACACTCTTCAACTGTTCACATGGGTGCTTATCCAATCACAGCCGTGAGACGTTCTTTCTTCTTCTAGAGGTGTCCTTGGTTCTCATGCTGTTTATCTTGCTCTACAGCTTCTGCTCTGAACAGTTTTACTTGTATTCCCACAATCCATCACATCCAAAGTGTCTCTGGGGTCTTGGGTGCCAGAGTTTTGAAGCATATCTCAAATCTGATTTCACACCTAGAAAACTAACATAATGAAGGACCATGTATTTGGACTACAAAGGATGGTAAACTCTAAATAAATATTATAATAACTTGTGTTAAACTCTTCAGAGCTTCGGTTTATGAAGACTGATTGTTTGATGAAATGAAATCTGCCTTCGTTTTAGTCTCTTTATCCTCAGCAGTGTGAGATCCAAGTTTATCTGATTCTTAAAGCTGGATGTATAGCATTGCAGTGCCTTCCTCTGAGTAACAGGAAGACAAGCTGGGTAAGTGCTGTGTCTGGTTAGTGTTTCTACAGACTGTGCAGAATGATCACTCATCTAGAAAGAAACACTTTCCGCTCGATGTGAGCATCAGTGGAAATGCTGAGCGTGTTCAGCACAGTTCTCTTTTTATCGTAGAAAAGTGACATTCTCTATGGACCTGCTCCAGAGTCCGATCGTGTCAGTGAAAGGACTCCTATTGACTTCAGTGTGACTTGGAGTGCCTCCTAAAAATGGGAACAAAGCAGTAGACTTCATAAATCTTCTGATGTGGTCCTTAAAGCAAGAATTCAGACCCCATGGGGCAAAGGTTTGTGATTAGAAAGATATTTGGCCTCTCTTTCTTCCTGAACTGAACTATTCAGATCTTACTGGAGTTTTGCTCTTTGAGAAAAATCATATGCCAGTCAGCACGGGGGATAGTTAGTCTGTTAAATGTAAAAAAAAGTAAATGCCTTTTACTTTTTCATTATTGTCTGAGATTTGATTAAGGCAGTCAGTGACCCTTTGCTTAGGTCAGAAGAAAAAAAAAGCAAAGAAAAGCAAATGGAGCCATAGGACTAAAATTTGTTACTGAGAAATAGAACAGTTGAAGGTGTGGGAGACAGAAGAATTATCACAGCACTGATGGCACTAAAGTAGCTTGAGAGGCTTTAAACTTTCATAAAGTATGTGCTGGCAGAATTTCATCCTATACCTTTACCATAATGCAGACATTTTTTAATAGACAAGCTTGTTGGCATGAGAGAAGAGGTGCACATCAATGACCAGATTCCCCTATCACAAGCAGTGCTCATCAGTGATTGCTTCTTTCTGCTGTCTTTTGCTTAGACCCTTTCTGGGGAAATTTTTAATAAGGTAGTCTGAAAATGAGCAGGAGTTGAACCTCTGTGTTCCTTTGTGCCATTGACAGAAAGCTTCTTCCCAGTTGAAGTGACCTTTCCTTCTCTCCCTTTAGAACTGCTGCTTGTCCTCCATAAGTTAGTGTTGTGCCTGACTGTGTTAAACACATGGGGAGTGAGGTCTGCTCACTGTACGACTTCCTCTTACAACTCTCAGCCTTTGACTCACGAGCATGGTTTGGTTTTATCACTCCAGAGTGCGCTGTAGATGTTTGGTTTGCAAGGCAAATAACGTGAACCATCACGTTATCATGTGGAACCTCTTTTCCACACTGCTCTATATATGTCAGTCAACCTTTTAACTTGATTAGGAGGTTAATTTGCATGGTACTGTGTGTATGCTTTTACTGGAATATATATGCTATGAAATGTATGGTGTAAGTTAATCCAAAGCTAAGTAGGCCAATAAAAGCTAGTTCCTTAAGGAGGAAGAAAAAAGAATACAGCTCAATGGAAGAGAAGCTTGGTAAGAGTCCAGAGTCCTGACTCATTGTTAGCCTCAAGAGCGTCCTGACTAGCATCAACGTGTTCTGGAAGCAGTGTGATTCTCCTACCGTATTAACAAAAAATAATAAAATGTAATGCTAAAACAATAGGACATACCAGAAAATTTCCACTGAGACATGGTATCTCAGGAACACGCCTGTGGCAGAACAATTTCCATCCTGCTCACATAATCGGTGTATATGGCACTTACATGACTTCGTGCCCACCATGGAAAAGTGAGCAGCTCTTTTAGGTGCTTGGGCTGTTCCTTCAACACTGAGTGCTTCAGAAAGCTAGTAAATAGAATATAAATTAGAAGTGTATTTGTGGGAGACACCCAGTCAGGGGGGAGCACTAGGAATGTACAGTATAGCCTTCATGGAAATCTGAAAAATGCCTCCAAGGCTCTCTACCCACATCTCTCCATAATTCTAATCTCAAAAATATATACAATTTGGAAGCAATATAGTTCTGGAAGCTTGGCTAGTGTGAGCTCACAGTTATCTTTTACTTGATCCTGTGAAATAAATTATATGCAGCAAATCCCCACTGCAGATAAATTCTTCTCCATCTGTTTTCCTATAAGAAAAAAAAAAAAGTAAAATTACTTTCATGCAACAATTGCACAAGCAAGTTGTAAGCTTAAAGACAAAGGAGAAGAAAGTTAGAACGTTTTCTGGTTTGATGCCAAAGATTTTGAAGATAAAAATTCTCTGAAAGTAACTGCAATAAACGAATGACTGTTGAGCTTGAACAGTCCTCAAGTTAAATTAGTTCAATTTTGTTTAAATATTTATTAGAAGCAAAAGAAAACATAAATGCGGGAGAAAAAAAATCTTTATATTTTGTCATCTTTTTCCCACAATGTCTCCTAGTCTGAAATGAGGTCATTGGATTTTAGTAAGTAGTCCAAGTACAATGCAAAATATATTTCAAGGCAGAGCTAAACTTCACATCTCGAAAGCAAAAGGGTTAACAGAAATATAAAATTATGTGAGAGAGAAAGCACTCAATGCCTAGGGAAGTATAGTTTTACCTGTCAGGAACAAGAAAGTTGGTCTGCATCCATTGCAGAGACATAAACTAATCTCAGCAAGGGCTGCATGTGAATGAACAGCTAGAGCCTGATCAAATAGAAGGTAGACTTAGCAGGAAAAATCCCAAATCACAGTTTTGTTTTCTTTTTCAGGGATTCTTTTCTAGATTTAAAAATGAAATAGGTCCAGTCTTGTAATTATGTGAATCAATAACGTTTATAGCAAAACTGACAGAAGGTGTTTATGGAGATATAATTATAGTTTGCAGGTCACTTAACAACCTTGCATGGGCAGTCCATAAAGAGAATATGACCAACTGCTGTGGATAGTCACCCGAGTAAACAAGGAAAGTGTAGAAGTGTGGCTTGTGAAAAATAAGCATTCTTATGGGGAAATGGAGAATGACAATAAGAATTACAGTGATCCAATGTTTCAGGTGTAACTGGGAAAAGAAGCATTTCAGATCCTTTCCTGAATATCTGGGAAATCTGAAAGGGGTATAAAAAACAAATGAAGTGTTTGATGCTTATTTCAACCCCTTTTGAATCACAGCATGTTCATTTAGGAGTTTGTAGGCAGTGAATATTTCTAGTTCCACATTCGTTGTCTAGCAGAAGCGCTCTAACTCCACTCAAAATCCAAAATCCCAAAATGCATAAAGGAAAATAATCCAAATGTCAAATGTAACCATGAGCAATTAGTCAATCCATCAGAGCAAAAGCAATCAAGCCACATCCTTCTGTTTCCTTTCTGGAGACACATACATCTAATAATAACCTTACAAGAGCACTTTAACGAAGGGAGGAGAAGCTGAGAGTTTTGACCCCATTCTAGAAAACAAACCATCTCCAGGAATTTCGATGCAAGTGCATCAGCCAGCGACATCCCAAAGTAAAAGTTTAAGTGACGAATCTGAGTTACACCCAGAGATGAGCGGGAGCACATTGCACCACTTGCAGCATGTGAGAACACCTCCAAAGGCTCTAACAGCCCCGCTGCAACTCGCTAGCTGTTCCTGCTGCCCTTACGTGCATCTTCTGAATGGTTTTGCATTCAAGGCAATGATGGAAAAGCCATGAAAGAATCGGATGAGGTTTTCTTCTAATAATACAGGCAAGACCATCTCCAGCTGTTGGCAATACATGGGCATGAGGGTCTTCGCTTTATTTCCCAATACGACCACCCCCAGCAGTAGGGAATAGTCCTGGCATTTAATTTAATTTGACTGCAGCCCGAGCTAAAGTGCAAGATTATGTTTCTGCAGGAAATATTTAGGTGACAGCTTTAGGGAAAACACTTGGCTTTCTGTTGACTATCTTCTCCTAAGAGCACTGCCATAAAGATCTTGTGTTAAGGCCACAGAATGTGTAGCTGGGTGCAGTCTGGGGACCTCACCATTTAGAGGTGAATATTCCCAACAAGCTGACATTGTGAAGGACAAGGAGCTTTATGTATTTTATACCTTGCCCTTGAAAACCCAACTTTCACATATAAGTATTTTGTTTCTGTGTGCGCTTTCCTGTATGTGAGTGTATTTGTTAGGAACCTAACTGAAATTCTCTTCTGCAAATGTGTTGGCTTGGTTGGTAAGAAAGTTGTTCTGAATGTACTGCAGGGCACTTCTTTTGTTCATTTTCTTTTGTCAGAGGCTGACAGTACACTAGCTGCAGTTTTCATGTGATCATTCTTGAAATTGCTTCGTGTTCAGAGAAATGTGTAGGCGTTCTTTTCTTTAAATAGTAAGTGAAAACAGTATTACAAGAGTAAAAAATTACACCACAAGATTCTGTGCCTTTTCTCCATTTTCATCTTTCATTCATTTAATGAGCTTATTTTTATTCCCTGTCTTTCGGTCCCCACTCTATATTA